TGCAAAAAAATACATTAACAGATACATGCTATTAAACTGTATTTATTTTTAATGCAGTTTTGTATTAAAAATGTATTTTTAATTTTTAATGCAAAAAATACATGTTATTAAACTGTATTATCATGAGGAATTAAAGTGAATATCATTAAAAAAAAATCGTGGCATGTATGATAATTATATTATCTTGTATTTTTCAATTTTATTATTAAATTTTTAATGTAAAAAACGTATGTCTTGATAATTGAGTTGTAACCATGTTTAGAGCTTGTATTTTTTATTATATTAACTTGCATATTTGTAATTGAGATGTACGACTATTTGTGATCATTTCAATTGAGTTGAGATTGTGCCCACTATATCATTGTAAATTTTATTTGTAGCATTGTGAATGACTATATCATTGTAAATGTTTTTTGTATCAAATATACGTGTTGTGGCATTATGGATGACTATATTATTGTAATTTTTTTCTTGATTCTAAGTGTGACTTATACAGACTTTTTTTTATCTATAATGTTGCATAAATTTTTTTTTTTTCTCAATAGGAACTAATTCATGTTTGTCGAAATGAAGATTTGTGACAAGTCCATATGTATTGGCATTGTGAATTACTATACTATTGTAAAGATATTTTTTATTGATACTATATCAATGTAAATTTTTTGTTCTATATATAATGGCTAATATAGGCTATTTTTATCTATGATGTTGCATAAATAAATTATTTTTCCCAGTAGGAACTAAAATATTTTTGTCAATAGAAGTATTTTGCATTAACAGCAAATATAACTTCATGAACTACCCCTACATATTATCACTACACACAATGATTATTTTCATGTTGAACTGTTAGGTTAATTTTTAACCTTTTACATATTAAAACAATTGAACCATGACAAGATCTGCGGAAGACCCTGCATGGCAACATGGGGTCAGACTTGATCCCAACAAAAAAAACAAAATTATTTGTAATTACTGCCAAAGAGTGATAAGTAGTGGGGTACATACGTTCAAGCAACACTTGACAGGGGTTAAGGGAAATGTTTCTGCGTGCAATAGTATCCCTAGTAATGTAAGAAAGCAGATGGTGGCATTTCTCAAGGCTACCAAAGGTAAAAAAAATTGTAAAGCAGATGATGGATGAGGAGATCGCTAGTTTATATGCGCCATCAAGCATGAATGATCCAGAAGAGCAATATAATAATGACTTGGAGATGGCCACAAGAATGAGTTTACAGGAAACAAATCAGAGGGAACGCGGGTTTAGAATGCCTGATGGTTATGACATGGGCATGCATGGTGGGCCTAACTCAGACATGCATGGCGGGCCCAGCTAGAGCATGAATGGCAATCCCAGCTCAAATATGTATGGAGGGATTGGTGGCAATATGTATAAAGAGGAATCAGACGTTGAAGAAATTGTTTCTAGCTTATCTAGGAGTGCCAGTATTGCAGGTCATGGTCGTATAAACCCATTTCTCTTAAAATCTAAGTCACAACAGATGACCCTCAAAGGCATGGTAAAAGGTACGAAGAACATGTTGGGTAGATATGTTGATAAATTGTTCTACGATAAAAGAATCTCCTTTGATGCAGCCAATAGCTCATATTTTCCACCTATAGTCAACGCAATCCAGAAAGTCGGGCCCGGGGTAAAACCCCCGACGGCATACGAGCTCAGTGGGCCAATATTGGATGAAGAGGTGGATGAAGTTAGAAAGTGGATTGAAGAATATAAACCGAGTTGGCCAAGAACAGGTATTACTTTCATGAGTGATGGTTGGTTGAGTAAAGTTAGAAAAAAGGAGTTTTTAAACTTCTTAGCCTATTCTCCAAAAGGTACATCTTTTTTGTCTAGCAAAGGCGTATCAGGGATAAAGAAAGATGCAAACTTCTTGGTACGACTATATGATCAGCTAATGGAAGATGTGGGAGATAAGCATGTAGTCCAGTTTATTACGAACAATGCATGTGCATGTGTTTCTGTGGGCAGCAAGTTGATGGATAAAATGAAGCATTTAGTATGGACCCCGTGTGCTGCACACAGCATCGATCTTATGTTAGAGGATATCGGTGAGATCAAAATTGTGAAGGAGAAACTCTACAGAAAGCGAGGTTGGTGTTGAGATTTATGTATAACCACTCTAAAATTTTATTTTTGTTCAGAGAACAGTCTAAGAAAAAAGAGATAATCAGGCCCGCCAACCCGCTTTGCGACAGATTACTTGGTTGTGGACTCCATTTGGGAATCTGAAGGTATATTAAAGAGATTGTTTACCAATGAAAAGTGGTTAAATGACCGCTTCTCGAAGTCTAGTACCGGGCTAAAAGTGGACGGCATAATATCAAATAGAAGGTTCTGATCTCGATGTTCTAGTGTCGTAGAGGCCACTACCCCTTTGGTCACGGTGTTAAGAATGGTAGATGCTGACAAAAAAGCTACCATGGGCATTCTTTATAAAGGTATCGAGAAGGTCAAATCAGCTATTGGGAAGAAGTGTAGTTTTACTAATAAAGTGATCGAGATTATAAAAAGAAAGTGGAACACCAAATTTGGACGTCCAATTCATTATGCAGGTAAATATATATTTATATCATTATAATGTTTCATTCTAAATTATTTTTTTATGAAATTTTAATTGATATTTCTCTATCTATATATTTTCTAGGTTACTACTTCAACCCAAAATTTTTCTATTTGACACCTGAACATCCCCACAAGATTATGGAAGAGGTCAGATACATTATTGTCATATTAAAGAGAAGCCATCGAAACCAGGTAGCAGCAATACAAGAGGTATTATTTAATATTTGGGTAAAAACTTGATTGAGTTGTTATATTTGTGAGAAATAATGCACTAAAATGAAATATTTTATTTTAGCTTGCTATGTATAGGGATGCTATAGGATCATTCGGAACTAGACTTGTCATGAATTATCGAACTAAGATAGATCCAGGTTATCCCCTAACTAATATTTTGTTCATTCATATATTTACTCTTATGAATTGCTCTTGCCCTTACAATGCTTTTTGCATTTTAATCTAACTGAATGATAGAAGATATATGGTAGTCATGCACCTCACCTAAAGAGGATAACAATCAAGGTGCTCTCCCAGACATGTTCTGCTACTGGTTCTGCTACTGATTGTGAACGAAACTGGAGTACGTTCCAATGGTTGCACACTACTAGGAGGAATCGACTCATTTCGGAGAAGCTTCATAATTAGTCTATGTCCATTACAACTTAAACCTCCGAGAGCGACAAATAAGAAAGAAGCTTGATGATTATGGACCGATAGACTTGGACGCAATATTTGTCACAGACGCAACAAAACAATGGGTAGTAGAAGAAGATGAGCCAGTGTTGCACAAGAGAACGTTCCTTGAGACTATCGATGAAGAACATCTTGAAGAAGGTGATGAACAGCATGAAAGAAGCAGCCCGCCAACATATTCACAATTCGTTGAAAATGTCGGTGATATTACACCTAATGAGGGAGAGTGGGAAGGGGGTCTAAGGGAAAATGAGAGAGATGATTCTGAAGCCACCCAATCCCAACCAAATTATTCACATATCGAGTCCCAACAACAAGAAAGTAAGGATAAACATGACAATGTAAGTGACTATGAAGGATGGACAAGCTTCGGGGATTTTAGATTAAAACCACAACAAAACACCAACACTCAAAATTTTGGGTATAATCAAGTGCCCACTAATTTGGATGATTCATTTTTAGAACGAGTCAATAAATTGTCACGTGAGTTCAATCAATGGCACCAACGTGACCAAGATGAAAAACGATGTCGTCTGTCACTTTATTTTTAGATCGTATGTTGTGAATTGTATACTTTATTACAGTTCATGTATGATGATATACTTAATCCATAATAATTCTATGTTTGTCCTTTTGTGTGATGTAAATTAAATAGTAAATAATATTTCATGCAGAGAAAGAATATATCAATAATCGCATATTCATGCAAAGAATGGAAAATTCTTAATGAAATACCCCCATTTCTTATTGAATTCCTAAAAAACAACATTTATAATGAATTTTAGTAATTTTCTAAAATTTTTTTTGAAATTTAATCCAACCGATTCAACTTATTCTCGATCCGGATGGATTTTTGAAGTGGTCTTTTTAAACCACTGGTCAAACATCATCAAAAGTTTAACCAGTTTTTACCGATTCTGAGTAGCCTGCTCCCAGTAGTCAGCTGCATTCCATGCGCAAACATCTTCAAGTACAATTTATGGGACCTGGCTAACTACAGCTGCATTCCATGCGCAAACATCTTCAAGTACAATTTATGGGACCTGGCTAACTACAACATCGTTATGTTTCTAGCTCTTTCTAGCCCCCGACTAAGTGATAAACAAAAGCAAAAAGTTTTGATAGGGCTCAACCCTATCAGGCAAGCCTCACCTCAAAACTAATGAGAAATTGCATCCCTGGCATCGCAAAACCTTCAAATCGATTATCTCGAACTTCACCATTGTGGTTGTGAAAAAAAAAATTCAAACCCTAATAGTAATGTATAATGTAACATGTGTCCATTTTGCCCCAAAAACAATTGTTCATGAATCCGCAAGATCAGTACCATCTTTTTTTTTTAAGAAATGTTGACGTTAAGATCTGCACCATCTTTTGAACTTCAAATTTCATAATCGGTAGTGGAAATTGATCCTAGAGCTATCATAGAGAAGATCTAAGGTGATTTGATTCTAGAGCTATCATGGAGAAGATCTAAGGTGATATTTTCCTTTGTTTTCGTAAAACCTAGGCCCTATAGAATCTCCATCCTAAACAAAATCCAAATTAATCTTTACTACAACCGTAAAACCGTAACTTCTCTCTAGTCACTACCCACCCCAACAAAACTCTAGTCATAGTTGGAGAACACTTGTAGCAATGCCAGGCCACATAATTCATGAAGCATTGAACAGGAAACCAAGGTGAGTTACCATGGATGCTTAGCAAGATCGGAGTTTTTGGCTTCAATCAGAACAAGGTCAAATCTATACACGCTTTGGAGCAACAAAATAATAAGATGGAAAACTGAAAAATTTTCCATTTCAGGTCTGAGTTGAGATAATAAGAGATACAGAGACCATAACCATGAACTAAATTAAAAGTTAAAAACGATAGGAAGTACACGAGCCAAACCAAATGTCCAAGAGGACAGGACAGCTGTGATTGATTCAATAAGAGCAAGAGAGATATATATGAGGCGGTAGTTTGGACAGTGTTGTTGCAAAGAGTTTCATATTCCATATCCAAATACGGCACGTATCTTATGAAAGATGAGATCTCTCCAGCCTCTCTCTGTGTTCTCCACGACAGTTGCATTCCCATATCTGCAATATATGGAATACCATCGGAATAAAAAAACAAACACAACCCAAAAGCAGAAAAGAAAGTTCACAAACTCGTCTAGAGTAAAATGAAGGTAAGAGAGAGTGTGATGATGTCACCCAAATACATCGTAAACAGTGTTGCATGCATTTATGTGCATCTCATTTCCACGAGAGAGAGAGAGAGAGAGAGAGAGAGAGAGAGAGAGAGAAACCACAAGGCTGTTTTGAATTTCAGATTAACTAACAATACTAAGGCATACCTGTCTTCTTCAGGAACATCAGTTTGTGTGAGTTTGATTATTGTTACACCTGGCTCGGGCTCTTCAAAAATTAGCCGCACCTGCAACAATATTAACCAGGCGGTAAGATCAACCTGCAATAAATGAACTTTCTTTCTGAATTAAGTTATAAAAGAACATATGTCTGAACAAATAGCCAGTAGTCAGGTCCAAACACACACACCCGCACGCATACAAAGAAACAGGTATTGGTTAGCTGAGAGCAGAAAACACCACCATATTAGCCACAGAATGCACCATATAATTGAGAGAGTATCAAAAGACAACAAAAACAGCAACCAAAAAGAAAATTTATACATGTAAATGTATTAAAAAAAGTGGATTCTTCACTTCCACAAAGGGGCACTTAAGTACCATATCAAGACTATCAGTTAAATGAGAAGTCAACAAATAGTGACCCACCACGCTCAGGTTAAACAATGCGAAGAAAGTTTGAGTGGAAATATGGACATTTATAACAATATAGACTTGCCAGAATTGAATGACCACCATGAAAGTGTCAACAAGTAAACAATTTATCGTATAAAAGTGGAAGAATACTCACTAACAAATGTACGATATATATATGCGGAATAAATAAGAAAATTAGCAATACAAGGAAAGAGACCAAGGTTCAGAAAGCACTGCACAACTGGGTTTAAATCACCGAAAAAATATTGTGCATTTCAAGGGCAGTTGTTCCTCGTCGATAGCTAACTCATAGTGAAGTCCCACACAATGTGATTTTTTTCATTTGATAGAACTTAGTGAACAAATGTATCCTTCTGAGATACTAATTTTGAGCAATAAAGAATTCACCATATGGATGCCCAAAACAGTAGAAAATTCCATGGCAACATTACAAAGCATCAAAGAAGTGATACAAAAGCGTTTTTTCCCAAACACTTATCAACATCGAAACACGGGTATTTTAGCAGTTTTTCAGTGTAGTTTTTCAGCTCTCATGCAAACTGAAACTTTTGATGCAAGTTAGAACAAAGGAGATAGAAAACAAAATAAATAATCAATATTGACAAGGATTATCCAAGTATCATCTCAATTATGAATGCATACCGTGGAGTGAATGCCCTCAGGCCAGCTACCAAACCTCCATTTCTGAACAATCAGCTTCCCTTCTTGAAGTTCCTCAATGACACCCGTAATTGACCCATCAAAGAGTGAGAAAGACGCACCCACATCCTTACTGATCTTCGCATTACTTTGAGTAAATCCCTTCCACCTATTCTCATCCATTAAGATATCATATACATCGCTTGGCCTGCAAAAGAATTTTTCAGTGAGAAAAATTGTCTTAAACCCTTCTTTCACTTTTTTCTTGGCTGGAGGTGGAGTTGGTGTCGCAGGCTGAGCATTGCTATCTGTGTTATCGACCTTTAGCTTTGAAGAGCCCTTTGGTTTGAGTTCCAACTCATCCTTTGCTGGCCCACCAGCACTCATGCTCTCCACATATTTTCTCACTCTTTCGAGAAGAATTGGCTTCCCTTTCGATATGAAGGCCTCTTTAAGGCATTTGCCTATGGGACCATCGTCTTTCACGATGATCTTGACTTCTGGGTCTTCGTCTGCATTCTCATCTGCAATGTATGGGAATTCCACGTCCCCATCCACCTACGCAGAACATATTCCACATGAGAAGAGAGAAATAGTGACCCAAATTTATTCAAAAGCAAGCTACATTGAATGAAGGGGAACTAAAAATTCTTCAGAGAATTTTTTGTTGTTCATGTGCTTTCAACAACCTACAATATCAACAAAAAATTCCACATTATTTGAGCAAATGCAAATCAGATATCATTGTATCTAGTTATTTAGAACATGCCTAATCATATTTACATGTTAGGTGAGCCCAAGAAGCAAAACCCAACACAAGCACAAAACTCAATAAACAATGCCCTATCTTCGCAAACTTTCCATCAACACACCAACATAACCCACCCCAAGATTCGTGAACTTAGTTTATAACTTTGTTGATTTCTGAATAAAACACAGCAAAATTCTCCAGTAATCTTCAGCGCAATGTCGTTAAAAAATTTAAAATAAAAAACAAAAATAACATTTTTATTTCATCCAGCACCGAGGTACTAAACTGCCATATCAGAATCAAGACGATCACAGACAGTTAAAAAACAAAAAAAAAAGTTATGGCTGCATTTTGGAGACATACCAAAATTTTTAACAGAAAAATAACAGGGGTTAACTCCCTGCAATCAATAATGACTGAGTTGTTGAGCAAATAAAAGGTTCTTCAGATAATAAGAAGTTGCAGACAATAAGACAAAATCAGTATCTAAGATAATAAGTAACAACCACCTGATAATTGAAGTTCTGAATTTTATAGCAGTCTCTCTAAAATTTCGTCCCTTCCATACCATTAACTCGTGAAATCTTTCCCGTATGAATTATTTTTATTTATTTATTGATACAACAAAAGACATGGTTGTCTATCAAAAAAACACAACAACGGACACATTTTTCCAAAACAATACCATAATACCCAAGTAAAAAACTCAAAAATAATGAATAAACAGGTAATTATCTCAAAATATATATAATTTTATTCTCAGAACTAGCATCAAAAACCTATAATGGCGGTGACTTCACACCTTTTGAAGGCTCTTTCCTTCTGAATCCTTAGCCTCTCCTTGCCAACCCAACTTCACACTTATCTCATAACCAGGAATAATCTTCCCCTTCCTAATATTCACATAGGCCTCCCCTTCTACCTTCTCGACCCTCTTCGTCTTGATCCATAAATTTCCCTCCCCCTCAAGGATGACGAGGTCCTGAAAAAGCTTCGAAAGCAAGTTCCTCGACCACTCCAGGCAATCTTTCTCAGCCCAATGCCAGTTATGAACGTTTGCACCATCAGCTCTGTCCTCCACAATCCATCTCTTGTCTCCCTCACCATACTTCGCCATGAATCAGGGCAAGAAGCTCAAAAAAAAAAAGTGGCGAAATTCTACAGAAACCACGGTTTCAAAGAAGGTTATTCAAATGAGAGGTGAAGAAAAACTAGGGTTTTGAGATGAAAGCAACAAGCAGAAGATACAGGATTTTAACAGGAGAAAGAGAGTAGTGGCAACAATTAGGGTTACGGTTGTGGATTTTAAATGAGGGAGTAGGAGAAAAATTAGGGTTTTGCAAAAGGTAGAAGATAGACTTCTGGCTTGGAATGCTCCAGAAAGTGGAGGCGAGAGGGTGGGAAAAATATATTATATACACAACACACTCTGTGTTGTGTACGAAACATATCGGCAATCTACCGTACGTTTAGACGGTTGAGACTTGAGATAATCTCCGTTACAGTTTATAGAACGGATGATAAATAGGTGGCAATAATACTTATTTATAAATGGAAAAAGTTTATATAAGGTTGCAACATTTTTTTTTTCTATTTAGGGAACTGAGCGAGAAATTTGGGTTAAAGAAAAACAACGTATTTATTGATATAGAAAAAGCTTATGATAGAATGCTTCGGTACTTGATTCGATAGAAGTTTGAAAAGAAACTAGTCTCCAAGCACCACATAAACTTTGAGAAATATATATATGATGAGGCACTAACTAGTGTGCGGATAAGTAAGTTTTGAGTGACAATATATCTATATTAAGGGTTAGCATTTAGCCTATACCTATTTGCCAAGGGTTAACATTTAACCTATAGCTATTTGTCTTAGTTATGGACAACTTAACTAGGCACTTACGAGATGAGGTATCGTAATGCTCGTTGTTTGCAAATGATATAGTTTTGATTGATTAGACTCGAAACAGCATCAACACAAAGTTAAAACTTCGAATAAATGATCTAGAATCTATATATTTTAAAATTAGCCAGACTAAAATGAATTATATAGAATGAAGTCAAATAATAATAGGAATAAAGACGATGAAGTAGTTAAGATTGACGACAGGGAAATATAAAAAAGAGCACACTTTTGATATCTTCGGTCGATAATCCAAAAAATGTAAAGATTGGAGAAGATATCGTACAAAGAATTAGAATTACGCGGGTGAAGTGAAGATGTGCAATCAAATTTTTATGTGATCGCTAAATACCAATAAAGCTAAAGGGTAAGTTTTATTAGACAATTGTGAGACCCGCTTTGCTCTATGCGTTTGAATGTTGGGCAGTCAAAAAATAATACATCCATAAAGTGAGTGTAGCGAAGATGAGGATGTTGAGATGGATGAGTAGTAGGATAAAAATGAATAGAACCCAAAATAAAGACATTCAATAAAGTTTAAGTGTAGACCCAATAAACGATGGTGAATGTTTATCATACTTGAGACAAAAAAAGTAGGGCATGGTGAATGTTTATCATACTTGAGACACAAAAAGTAACGTGTCCTGACCTCTAATTTCTCATCTCATGGCCTAGGGTGATTCTTAATGTTATCATAATTGGACTGACCACCTAAACAGTGCGGAGTTTGGTCAAGTCAAAATATGTTTAATTGTCAATTAAAATGATAATACCCTATTTTTAAAAAATAGAAAAGATAAATAAAATAGTTAAAATATTTGCTAAAAAAATTATTTCGCTAATCCAATCGGTAAAATAAGATGTTTCAACCAGCCAAAAAATTTAAACCAGTGGTTTAAAAAATGGATCGGTGGTCCTGATCCGGCACCCAAAAACCCCATCTGGATCGGTGAATCGGCGTTTCGCATCTGGAATTGGCTGAATCGGTCGGACTCGACCTAAGAAAAAATTCAAAAAATTATTAAAAATCATTATAAATGTTGTTTTTACGAATCCAATAATAAATGACAGTACTACATTAATAACATTTACTTTTTTGCATCAATATACGAATATTGAGATTTTCTTTCCCTGTATGAAGATTCTCATCAAATATTTATTAAAATCTAACTAAATACAATATTATACATTGAAATTAAAATTATTGGTTTGTATTTTATTATTTTATTATACAAATAAGAATAAATTTGAAATTTGTCTTGTAATATTTTCTAATTTAAAAATCTAATTTACAACTATAACAAAAAATAATACATTGTAAAATTTATAATGTAAATAAATTAATCAATAAAATATAACATTTGGTTTTATAAATTAATAAACAAAAAGTAATACATTACAACCTAACTAACTTTAATATTATATATTGAAATTGAAATAGTTGGTTTATATTTTATAAAATATTTATAAATAAAAATTCTAAAATGTCTTATAATATCAACTAATTTAAATATTTTTCTTTAAAACTATAATAAAAATGATATATTATATAATTTATAAAATAAATAAATAAATATAAGATTTGGTTATCAATGTATAATTATTAATTATAATATCATGATTAAAAAAAATATTAGAAAACAGTTCCATATCATATGATTAAAAACAAAAATAAAACCTCTTATAAATTTTAATGTTATGATATTAAAAAAATTAAAAATATATTTTTACCTAAAAAATGTACCACGCTTTTTTCAAACAATTTCCAAGCACACTCTCTAACTTGCCGAATCATTATGTCATGCCGACGATTTACTGCAGCAATACGTCGAGTCGTGACGTCACACACTGCTTTTGTATAGATAAAACACCCAATCCCTGTTTTTGGCCAGATTTGGGACGGGCTAGGCAATTCCCAATCCAGATCGCCCGATTCCGAACCCAACATTGATTTAAACCATTAATTTTGAATAGTTGCCGGCAACCTTGATTTTTATTCTAGAGAAGACTAGCCAAGGATTAATAATAGACATTTGGATGAATCAAAGCAAGCGGTCAATCCTGCCTTTTTAAATAGGAAAATTATCGCTAATATATCTATATTTTAATAAAATTGGAAAAAAAAACCCATAACATTCCAAAACCTCACCTACACATTTTTTTCCAATTTTTGGCTTTTTTGGATGAAAATAGCATTCACGGTAGTATTTTTACCGTAAAGAACATTACAGTAATTTAATACCGTAATAAGTTGAAGGAGTATTACGGTAATTAAAATACCATAATACCTTAAAGTAGTATTAGTATAATTTAATTACCGTAATAATATTACGGTAATTTAAATACCACAATAAGTTGAAGGAGTATTACGGTAATTAAAATACCGTAATACCTTAAAGTAGTATTACAATAATTTAATTATCGTAATATTGTCCAACCCTCAAAACAAAGGATTTTCTACTCTCTCGAGTCTACTATCTATTTACTCCCTTACAAAAATTCATGCTAGCGGTATTTTTCAAATCTCAATTTTTTAGGATATAATCTCTACTTAATTTTTATATGGTTCTCAAAATTTTAGAACAAAAACACTCTTAAATAGGTGTTTTTAAGTGCGAGAGTGGATTCACATCATGCTCCCATGGGAACATGGATTTTTTGAAAAGAGAGAGAGGTAGCCCTGATATTAGCTTCGGTTTGAGGCTTTTCAACCAATTAGCGGGTGGAAGTGACTGGGAAAGTATTACAGTAATAAGAATACCGTAAAGACTTCCCACGGGAGTACGATGTGGATCTACTCCCTCACTCAAAAACACTTATTTAAGAGTGTTTTTGTTTTAAAATTTTGAGAACCATATAAAAATTAAGTCGATATTATATTTTAAAAATTTAATATTTAAAAATACAGCTAGCATGAATTTTTGTCGATGGAGTAAATAGATAGTAGACTTGAGAGAGTAGAAAATCCTTTGTTATGAGGCTTGGGTAGTATTACCGTAATTAAATTACTGTAATACTACTTTAAGGTATTACGATATTTTAATTACCGTAATACTCCTTCAAATGGTATTTAAATTACCGTAATGTTATTACGGTAATTAAATTACCGTAATACTACTTTAAGGTATTATGGTATTTTAATTACCGTAATACTCCTTTAACTTATTACGATATTTAAATTCCTGTAATGTTCTTTATGGTAAAAATACTACCGTAAGGGTATTTTTGTTCAAGAAAAGCCGAAAATGGGAAAAATAAAAAAGGTATAGGCGAGGTTTTGAAAAATTTGGGGTTTTTTTTTTTTTCCGATTTTCTTAAAATATAGTTCTCATTCGCGTTAGTCACCACCGTATGTGAGTGCTGCCGTGTGTGATGTGGGTATGAGTTGTCATGTGCGATGTGGGTATGAGTTGTCGTGTGCGATGTGGGCCGTCGAGCGCAGCTGGATAGGGTAGTCCAGGGGACTTCCTCCTCTTTTCTCTCATGTTTATGAACCACTTGTCCCTTGCTTGTTGCTTTGTGTGCTATTGAATGCCACTTGTAAAGTGTGTGCCATGTAGAGGTCCCTTTATGCCACTTCTTGTTTGCATGCTACCCCTTCATTTTCCTATTTATTCATCCCTTCACACTCCTCTTAAGAGTTTGCTCTCTCTCATGCACGTTTTCCCCCTTTAAGCCGATAGAGCCTCAAGCTTGAGACCCTCCATTGAAAGCTTGACCTTGGAGAAAAATTGTGTAGGGAACTTGGAACCTTTGGTGCATGTAAGTAGATTCATTTTCCATGTTTCTATGCTTTGTGATACATGTTTTTGGTTAGTTCATTCAAGTATGAAATTCATGAAAAATTATGTGTGTGTGACTGTAAATATGAGCATGAATATGCAAATCATGAAGTTTAAGCTTGATTATTGATACAATTTGGAATATGCATGTGGCTGTACGCTGCAAAATTTATGCTAGAAGGAGCCCTGATTTTCCATGATTTTGCATCATAGATTGAGCATTGAGTATATTTATGATGATTATGAAAATTTATGGAAATACACCGTTATGAATATAATTTAAGATGAAAAATACCTTGTATTAATGCCTATTTTGATTTGGAAGTTATAGTTCATTCTTTGAAGTATATCAAAAAATTGGAAATGAAATCCCATGAACTATGCATGTTTTTGTGGTGAACTTTTCCAAATGAGCCCAAACTAGTTTTAAATGAAATACGGGCGAGTCTACTTCAAAAATTATTTTGGACTCAGGCCGAAATCCCTTATGGTTTGAGAATTATACCCATGTTTGTATGAATATGTTATTGTTGTGAGTGATAATGAATTTTCAGAACTATTTTATGTTTTATACTAAACTGTTTACTGACCAAATAGTGTCAAAATGACCTCGAATCACTTTCAAATAAAATATGGGTGTGTCTACTTCAAAAATGGTTCTGGAGCCATGTTGAAATTCCTTATGTTTTGGGAATTATGCCCCTGTATGTGTGAGTATGTCACTGTTGTGAGTTGTAGTGAATTTTCAGAATTGTTACATATTTTGTACTGAACTGTTTACTGATCAAATAGTATCTAAATGATATAAAATCAGTTTTAGATTAAACGTAGTTGTGTTTAATTCAAAAATAATATTGGTGTCAAACCAAAATTCCTTATGAATCGGGAATTGCAACCCTTTTTCTAAGAGTGTATCATTGTTATAGTTGCAGAAAATTCCAGAACCTTACACATTTTTATAATGATATGTTGGTTGACCAAAATGCCCCCGATTTAGCCCAAACTAGTTCTAAATGAAAGATCAGTGAACCTAGCTTGAAGTTGGTTTTGGGACCATGACTAAATTCCTTGTAGACGGGGAATCATGCTTGCTTTCTTAGGGGACTGACACCATGAACTTTCTATTCTTTCATGAATTATTATGCATGGTTGCAACAAGATATGCGAATGAAATGGTGGATACTTATGAATTAGTGAATAATTGACTAAGTATAAGTATGATTGTAATAAGTCATACTATGATTTGAAATGGAATATGCCTATGAATTAAGTGAATGCTATTGCTTGTAAAACAATGCATGCTTGTGTGGCGTGGTTATGAAAGATATGAATGCTTATGAAGAGTTAATGCTAATGAATGAGTGAATGCTTATGAAGTATTGAATGTACCTGACTCAAATAAAGCAGACTGCAAATGTGATGGATCATCAATTTGTAGCATGTTATGATGTGATAAGTGCTAGGTGATATGCGACTTGTGTGGTCAATCATGTGATAGGTGTTAAGTGATGTGTGACCTATGTGGTCAACCCTATGATAATTGCTAAGTGATATGTGATACATCAGCATGTTTTGAGCGTATTGCATGATCGTATTATGCTCTGATAAGATTGCTTATGAATTATTGACAATACATGGTTGAAATAAGACATCCCCATGAAATAGTGAATGCTTATAAAATGTTAAATATGTATAGTTGTAATAAGACATGCTTATGTGAAAATGAATGAACATGATTTTGAAACATGCTCTATTATGATATGTATACATGTTATGATACATGTTCTGTTATGACATGTGATATGAGATCTGACCTGTGTAGTCAGCTATGTAATATATGATTCTAACTTAATGACATGCTTTTAGCGTATTGCATGACCATGATTTAATATGTGATTCTGATTCATTAGTAGGCTTTGAGCGTACTGCATGACCATGATATTATATGTGATTCTGATTCATTAGCATGTTTGTAGCGCATTGCATGACCATGATACACTATGTGATTCTGATTCATTGACCTGCTTTGAGCGTATTGCAGGGCCATACTGTGATAAGTGACTAATTAATATGCTTTGAGTGTATTGCATGACTATAATATAATATGTGATTTGATTCATTGGCCTGCTTTGAACGTATTGCATGACCATAATATGATATGTGATTCTGATTCATTGTCATGCTTTGAGCGTATTGCATGACCATGATATAATATGTGATTCTGATTCATTAGCATGCTTTGAATGTATTGCATGACCATGATATAATATGTGATTCTGATTCATTGGCATGCTTTGAGTGTATTGTATGGACATACTGTGACATGTGACTAATTGGCATGCTTTGAGTGTATTGCATGACCATGAGGTGATAAGTAATATGTGATCCAGTGGCATGCTTTGATCATATTGCATTGCCAACTGGTGCCGACAGCTTCCCTAGCTCCCCAATGATAGGAAAGGAGTTAGGAAGAGTGTGTAATGGGAGGGTCGCACCCCCCAAACTTAGGTGTGATAAGTGAATCGTGTCTTGCAAGACATATGTCTATCAAAACCCCGAAGCGCGTTGGGGACTATGTGTGTACGTGTGTGAAGACATTACGAAGTGGGACACCCACTTGTCATTGTCTTCTCTCCTGAGTGATAATAGAAGTCATAAGCAATGAGATTGGCTTGGCCTGATGAATAGGGCTTCTATTTTTGGAGTATGTGAATTAAGGAGTGAGTTGGTTTATATTTGTTGATGTTGCTACACTGTAGTATTAGTTTAAATTATACTATGGTGATTTGTTATGATACTTGTGATGAAAATATTGGATAAACTGCCATTTCATATGATGGCTGCATCAATTTTGCTTATCTCTTAAAAGAATCACTCATGGCACCTTGCTAGATATAGTATGATACATGGCATCTGGATCTACTTATTGGGCTTTATAGCTCATTCTTTTAATTTCCATCATTGTAGAGAAATAGCCGTAGGTCAAGGACAGACAGTTGGGAGATCGTTACTAGTGGCTAAAGACTCATACTTGGCGAAAAGACTTTTGTTGACCGTATGTGTTAGATGGCTGTGGGCCACAAGCTGCTTTTGTTGAGCCTTGTATTTTTTTGTTGGACCTCAGTGCCTTGGACTTAATTATAATAATTTTGGGAGCTCATATATGTATATTTGGTTTTAATTTGATAAGTATTTGTATGTTGTGTTGGAGTTTTTTTTTTTTTTTTTGTGGTTTGCTTTGATTCAAACTTTTTAAAGCGATGAGTGCACTCCGACTTGAGTGACAATCGCTACCTTTGGATCACGGACCCGCACTCTGTCGTCCTCCGACGTGAACGACAGGATCCGAGGGTAGGGTCGTGACAGTTATGGTATGCCCAAACTCTTTTCCCTTCTATATATTTTCATTTTCCAAGAAAAATGGCTGAAAAAGCCGAAAATGAGCCCGGCTCATCGAATATCGAGAAATCCCGAGTTAGAACGAATAGGAAAAAGGAGCCGGACTCAACAAATCCCTTACCGCGCAGAAACGGTGCTCATTAAATAAAGCGAACCAATCCTGCAACTCTGTTGAAATTTAGCGCTAAAAAATGACCAAGAAGCTAGGTTTTACCAGAACAGGAAACGGGAAGTCAAAACTAAAAGTTCAGACCTTTGAAGAAGAAGAAGGAGAAGGGACCTCGAATCCAGTTGTAAGAAAGAGGCTGAAATTGAAGAAGGTTAAGGACTCAAAGTCCACGGCCATGGCTATTGCTGCCAGTTGTTTGAGTTATTCTGAATTTTTATCAAAAAGGCTGAATATTCTTAGTCGTGATTTCTTCGAATGCGATTCTCTTGATTTGGCGCCTCGCCTTCTTGGAAAGTTTCTTCGAAGGGATGATGTCGTGCTTCAAATTACAGAGGTATGAACAACTTGATTTATTGGGAATTTTTGGATGCCTAACGACTTGAATTCAGGAAAAAGGGGGAGAAAATGGGAGGAAAAATATGATGTGGTAAAATCCCGGAACCCATTAGAATTATTTGGCAATTAACGATGATCTAAGCAGTTCGAGTTTTATTTTGGAAACTGGAAGGAACCATGGAAAATGGCATAAAAGATGGTTAAGGAGGTGAATAACAAGATTATTTAATTCAAAATATAGATAAAACCACGATAAAGAAAGGGGAATAATTCGTCAGAAAATGCTGAAAGAACACCCAATGAATGATAGCAAAAAACAGGGTTTTGTTTTTTAAAATAATAATTTTATTCTCTAAAATTCTTAAAAAACTGAAAATTTCAACTAGTGCTTAGTAAAACACAAAGGTGAGTATTGAATGCATAATTGCATATGAAGTTTCTATTTATTTTTGTATTTATCGGGTACTAATATGTGAAAGGAAGGAGCGTATTTTATTTTATTCTACTTTTCTTTTGAAATTTAACTTTGACACGAAGTGGTGAACCATGGCACTTTTTGTCCTGGCCAAAATATGACTTGATTTTTAACAAAGATCAAACAATTTATATGCAGTCAGAGTATCAGAGTATGATATAATTATGTGTACTAACATAAAAACACAAATTTGTTAGTTTTAGTTATCTCAGTCTTAAAAAGCATATTTGAGGGAAGGATGTGAATAAGTATGATTCAATTAAGGGACTGTGGGCATTTGTGACAATATGTTGTAAAATAGCAGCATGTTAATTGTGAAAGTGAAAAGAAGAACAAAGAATGTAATGTTTCTTTGGGTAACTAGAGATGGATTTAGCTGTAAAAAATGGTTGAAAGACTTGTCAGTTGTATGTATTGGGGTTGACTGAATGCTGGCATCTTCTTTGCTTTTATTTTGTCTTTTGGCCTCTTCTTTTGCTATTTTTATCTTTTGAATGAGAATGTTTAATTTTAGACTTACACATTGTTTCCTCCAAGTAATACATACCAATAATCCTAAAGGAACAAGAAAAAGGTTTCAATGATTTCTTTTAAAGGTTTTATGTTCAAATGATATGCAGGTGGAGGCTTATAGACCAAATGACACAGCATGCCATGGTCGGTTTGGTATTACCGCACGAACAGCACCAGTGGTATGTTCATCTATCCTTCTTTAATTTGGTTACTTTTAGTTCTTCTGAAAAAATTCCTTTGATATCTGCAATTATTCCAAGCGGTTAATCGTATTTCGTAATTAATCACCGACGAGAATATATTTCTTTACACGGTAGTTGAATCCTATGTGATGCTAAACTCATACATCCATTTCTGCTTTATTTTACTTCAAACTGGTACTTTCTTATTAAACACATTGTTTCTTGTATTATGTCGGTTTAATTTGCATTTGTACTTTAATTTAGTTCGGGCCAGGAGGTCACGCGTATGTCTATTTATGCTATGGGCTCCATTACATGCTTAATGTTGTAGCTGACAAGGAAGGAATTGGTGCAGCTGTCCTCATTCGCTCTTGTGCTCCTATAAGTGGTATCTCTTTCTCTCTCTCAATTTCAACCTTCCGAATGTAACTATCTTCTGGTTAGAAGTTGGATTTTTGAGGACGTATGCAGTGTCCAAAACCTTGCCGAGTCTAACTCGGACTCACCTTAATTACTCGGGACTCCAGAAGAACAACCTTGGGAACCGGCCAAGTCACCTGGTTGGGAACCGGCCACGTCACCTGGTTGGGAACCGGCCAAGTCACCTGGTTCTCAAGGTTTTATTGTGAATAAAATTTATGTGCAGTTTGCAACTAGTTTATCTTGTTGAACTCTTGATGTTAAATTCATTGCAAACTATGTAATCTAGATTTTTCCTTGGAAAGGATGGATGCATGCAAGGCTCTCCTAGGCAGTTACCAACCTAGTACTGAACTTGAATAGGCATGTTTAAGTTGGGAGTTTAGATGGATCTTGTGCAGCAGTGACCTCTGTAATTTAGAATGAAGAGTTCTAATTGAATATATTCTATTTAGATTAGAACCATGGGTTGCTATCATTTACTTCTAGGTGTAAATCATTGATGGGTGTGCATGTGTATTAGTTTTGTTATCATTTACTCCCAAGTGTTAATCATTGATGGGTGTGCATGTGTATTGGTCCTTGTATGTATCTGTGAATGCATGTGAATGAAATTAAACCTGATACATCATGAAGATACAAATTGTTCCTAGGAAGAGTGCAACCCATAACCCTCAAATCCAACTCCCCTTATGAAGCCCAAATCACTGAGTAAGAAAATGAAATACTACGAAGAGGTCTTATCCGAAGAAATTGCAAGCACCGTAATGAGTCTTAGCCCAAACAAATCTTCCATCACAGATGATTTTCTAGCCCAATTTTGTCAATAACATTGACACATAATTGGTCCAGAAATTACTCAGGCCATAAAGACACCTTTCCTAGACAATCAATGGTGCAATCCCTTCACTTTAACTCTGTCACCCTAATCCTATAAAAGAAAGGTGTTTTTTCCAATGTTGTCAGATTCGTTTCGGAGTCTTCTTCGGTTTGGTGAGAAAAATGAAGCACGCCGATTCCGGGGAAGACTTCGGACTGTTTTTTTTTTTAATTTAATATAAATAAATTAGATATTTATATATAAAAAATATAAAAAAAATGGAAAAAAATAAAAATAAAAAAATCTAAAAAATAAAAAAATGCTTTTATATAGGTATTTATTTTCTGACCGAAGCAGCTCAAAGCTTCGGCCGAAGCAGAGCGGCCCGAATCTGACCGAAGCAGCAGCACCATGCTTATCTTTGCTTTGGTTTATGCTTAAAATCCGAAAGCTTCGGCCTCTTCAGCCGAAGTGACGCGAATTTGATAACATTGGTTTTTTCCATGACTGATTTTAGGCCTATAAGCCTTTACAATGTGAACTTCATGTTGTCACTAAAATCATTGCTAATATGCTTAACGTTGTGATAAATCACATCATCAAGTTGCATTTACAAAATCAAAGCATTTTCGAGCAAGCTTTGATTGTACATGAACTAATCCAGAGCATGGCTAAAAATCATAATCATCATCATCACCCAAGCCTTATCTCAACTATTTGGGGTCGGCTACATGAATCTTGTTATGCCATTATGTTCTATCTCGGGCCATACCCTCACTCAGACTATAAGTCACTATATATTTTCTCATTACTTTCGTCCATGTCCTTTTGTACTTTCCTCTTGCTTTTTCAAAGCCTTCCACTTGAACCAAATCACCCCTCATAACTGGTGTTGTATTAGGTCTACGTTGCATATGGCTAGCCCACCTAAGTTTACTTTCCCTCATCTTATTGCCTATTGGAGCCACCCCTAAGTTCCCTCGGAAGTACTCATTCCAAATTTTATCCTTTCTTGTCTTGTTACTCATCCATGTAAACTTCCTCATCTCTGCTATACTCATCTGATGGGTATGTTGTTTCTTGTCCATCCTATCCCATACAGCATGGCTGGTCTTGCAGCCGTCCTATAGAACTTCCCTATCAGTTTCATTGGTATATGCGACGATCACATAAAAATCCTGATGCACATCTCCACTTCCCCACCCATCTCTAATTCTATGCATGACATCTTCCTCAATCTCTCAATTCTCCTACATTATCGACTCAAGATTGAATATAATCTATTCAAGGTATTTCTTGGCTAAAAATAATACTACTATGCAATAATGCACTCCAAGTTCTCATAAAGTTACCAGCACTTCTAATTAGTTGCGCAAGTGAAAATTTTGCTTATGAACATCGCTACACCCAATAAAATTTGAAATGAGGAACTCAATTATGAGGTAAGTGAATAACTTAGACCTATGAGGTAAGTCAATAACTTATGCACTAGAGAATCTTTGTTACATGCATGGAAATGACGAGGCTTTTTTGCTCTTATCCATTTAATTTGCTCTCAAACTAATCTCTTTGCATGTCTGCAAAATTACCTTTGTTACTTATTCCTATTTATTGTTGCCATGTCTTTACATTGCACCAAAAAAGGTTTGGCTCTGCCAGTTAAATTAAGGGAAGCTATTCTCTGCAGTGTTGGTTTATGGTATTGGTATGCCATGGAAACATCCACCATCCATTGCACAATGGGCGGTGGAGATTAATGGGAGTTCATGATGTTTGAAGTTCTCCAATGTATGGTTAATCTCTATGGATCATCATGGAGAATAGACATTGAGGCGCCCTGTGGTGTACCTTCTACCGTGCACCACTGATATATGGTATACTTAACATGAAATACAAGTCACTGTCTAAGTGAGCCTTGATATCTTGCTTCTTGAACAATCCACTTCTATCCTACTCCGTCATTTTATGGAGAAGCATTCCCTCCATTGTATATGTTACGAATGTGCCTATTAGTTTTAGATGATGCATGAATGTATTTTTCCTTTTTGAAGGATTTATACATTAGTTATGTTAGTATGTAAATGTGCTTGTATAACTTACAGGTTTGGAGACCATACAGCAGCGCCGTGGTCAGAAAACTGACAAACCTGTCCTCCTAGCTGGGCCAGGGAAGGTTGGTCCCTCGGTCATTGTTTTGTTATTGTTTTATGTATAATTCATTGCTTTGTAATTCCAATCTTCATTAGTACACTGCTAATGACTCGAATGCTTTAATGTAAAAATCAAGAACCTAAATTCCTGAAAAAAGAAAACTCACCAGAACAGTCATAAATCAATCTCTTTTGTCACATCTTTGGAAGAATTGTACTACAGAACAAAGGTGTAGGCCTTACTATCTTATTCTGACTGGGTATTCTTTTTTATTGTTATTTGTTCATTTTTCTAGCATGCTAGGGTCTGGTGGATAAGTGCCTTTTTCTTAACTAATTGAAAGAAAACTTCAAATGTTTTGTTCCATACGTTTGATGATTTAATGTTGCAAAATAGGCCTATAAATCCTACTTAAAAGAGGGTGCCCCAAGGGCCTCCTGCACAGCGTCGAGAGTGCTTTCCTCGGAATTTCTTCAGTAAGATTATTTTTCTCAAAAATATTTTCAAAAATTCAAAAGCTTTAAAAAAATGGATTTTGTGACATGATTTTATTTACAACGCAACCTGTATGATAAATGCGTCCTCAACCACCTGTTGTCAATGGCGGGTAGTTGATGCTGCATTTACCATACAAATAGTGTGCTAAATACTTTTAATTACACTTCTCATTTTGAATCTGGATCTTTCTCAAGAATACATTTTCTAGTCAATGGAAAACAAGGAAAGTGTTTAACAGTTAACAAAATTATCATCATCGTCATCATTTGAGCTTTATCCCAACCATTTGGGGTCAACTATCAGTAATACATCAATATTGCAGGAACATTCAGAAAAACTACTGAAAATATCACAATAAATTCCTTTTTCCTTGACCTGTGATTCAAACATTGGACGTTGTGCTGTGGCTATACACTTTAACTACCACCAAGTTGAGACACAGCAATAATGGTAGTAGTATAAGCAACAGCAGTAGTATTGGAAGTTCGGAATTTTGTGCCTGAATAACCTGATAAAATAAAATGAATATTGCTAGTTCGTTGTTTCTTTTCCATATGGAACTGTCAAAATAAATTCAGGCAAATGGTAATGCATCAATAATTTATTTTGGATTTCATCTGGTGATTTGTTATGGTTGGTTGCAAAGAATGTAGTGAAGCCTAGAAATAGTGGTATCTCATTTTTATCTGCCTTCACATCTCTTTTGTTAGGTTGGTCAAGCATTAGGCCTAACAACTTCATGGTCAAATCATCCTCTTTATATCCCTGGTAAGTTTGTCATGTCCTGCTTGCACATACTGACATGCATCTATGTGGACATACGTGTGTGTGCTAAGCTCTCTCTCTCTCTCTACTGGTTTTCTAACCTGAAACAAACTTGAAATTTCCAGTAATGCAGATTCACTGACCAATCATTATCATTTCTACAGACAGACATCTATGCCTTAATACATGCATATTTATTTATGAATTAAGATCAATGTATTTTTAATTCCTTCTCCTTTTCAAGCGTACATTCTAATATAATGGATTTGGAGTAGGGGGACTGGAAGTATTGAATGGACCGGCACCAGAAAACATATTGGTTGGTCCACGAGTGGGGATTGATTATGCATCTCCAGAACATGTGAGTGCTCTGTGGAGGTTTGCTATTGCAGGTACTCCTTGGATAAGTGCGCCTAGAAACAGTCTTAAGGCCTCCTTGATGTGATATACATTGTATGTTGCATTCACGTCGCGTGTACATGTTCATGATTTTTTCTTCTTTTCTTATTTTTTTTGTGATGTTATTTGGATATTAACATAAAAGCATTGTTACTCCTGTGCCCTAACGAAAGTCGAAAGTGTTTTGTTTAGCTGATTGTTGTGTACGTGTGTACTATTGTACATTCAAACACATGATCTCAAACATATATTGTTCATGTCTTTTTACCGGTTCGTGAATTATGAAATTTGAAGCTTAACAAATGCTGCAAATCCTTATTTGAAATGTATGGTCCAAATAATGTGCCACAAGAGACACTACGTCTAACGCATGAAATTCTTATTTTCGTGTCCATTATTGTCAAGATCTAGTTGATTAATTTGAGAGTTTTATGTACCAAAAATATAAGGTGCAGCCGAGGATATATATATATATATATATATATAGAGAGAGAGAGAGAGAGAGAGAGAGAGAGAGAGAGAGAGTAGAGTAGAGACGACGTAACGAAAGTAAAAGTAGTACGTACGTACGTAACTAAGTAGTAGTACGTACGTACGTACGTACTAGGTAGTAGTCGTGG